ACACACACACACACACACACACACACATATATATATGACATATTCTTTCTATGTTTTATGTGTGTGCATGTGTGTCTATATGTTCGTGTGTGTGTGTGTGTGTGTGTGTGTGTGTGTGTGTGTGTGTGTGAATGTGATCAATAGCACACTTTTGGAGGTCAGAGGTCACCTTTTGGATTTGATTCTCTCCTTCTACCATGTGGGTTCTGGGGACTGAACTCAGATCATCAGGCTTGGTAGCAAGCGCCTTTACCCCTGAGCCATCTTGTTGGCCTTCCACTGTAAGTTTTGAGATGGTGTCTTCTTTCACTAAACCTGATTTGGCTAGATCTGCTAGCCAGCAAGCTCCAGAGACCCTCCCATCCCTAACACTGCGGTTACATATCCAGACTTCAGCATCTGGCTTTTTTCTGTGGGACAAACACTTGAGAGACGGAGCCACTTCCTAGCTCCTCTGACTTCTTACATGTGTGCGACACCTTTATTTTACTTCCTCCTTCTTATTTTTACACCTTGGTTGTAGCGGGCATTTTAAGTGGCAAGCATTTTGCATGTATGAGCCAGCATCCTTATCTAACCTCCTTAGGATTCCCCTCTTTCCTGCCTACCTGGGGCTCCTTACCTGTTCACATTTACACTCTGAGCAACTGGGAGTCAGAAAGGACATGGGTTACAAGATGGTAGCAGGATCAATTTTCTAGAAGGTTCTGTGAGAAGGAAGTCCCAAGCCAAATGCGCTAGAGGCCTTGCGATCTGGAGGACACGGCTTATTTCTGTATGCTACCAGGTTCTATAATTTATAAAGTGAGAAGCTTATTAGTGCACACACAAGTCCCCAGAAACCGCTAGATACCAGGAACAGGACTGGTGTAGTTCTGCAGTGGTGATACACTTGGTACCACTTCTCTAGTAGGCATAGGTCCAAGGTTTAATAGCCAGCATGACAAAACAATGTATAAATGTGTCTCATGTTTGATGAGGAGGTAAATTTTATTTAAATGCAAGATAAATGGAATGAAGCTGGGCCTGATGGTGCATGCCTTCAATCCCAGCACTCGGGAGGCAGAAGCAAGAGGATCTCTGAGTTCGAGGCCAGCCTGGTCTACAAAGCTTGGGCTGCTTGTTGTGGGTGCTGGGACTGAACCCAAGCTCACCTCCTCCTCTGAAAGCAGCAAGTGCTCTTCACTTCTGAGCTCTTTCTCCAGCCCCAGATTTACTGAGATTTTCATTCTCAATACATCTGTTCACTTTTTTCCTTAAAAAGTTTAGTTTCCATGTTAAGTTTCATCTGTCATTGATTTTCTCATCAAAACAGCCAAGTTTCTTCTCCAGATCCTGCATTGATTTTCTTACTTTGTTCATTTACTGACTTGATCCTCTTTGAGGCATTGGTAATTTTTCCAAGTAGATTTTTGAATTCTTTGTCTAGCATTTCAATCATTTTAGTTTCTTTGGAGTTAGTACTTGAAGAATCGTGCTCTTTGGAGGAGCCATATTGTCTTGATTTTGTGTGTGTTTCTGTGCAGTGATTTGCATATCTTTTGGTGTGACTGTCTCTCAGTTTTGTTTGGAGATCTCAGTGCATAGCTTTCTCCTGACAGCATGATTCCCATAACAGAGCAGCGAGTAGACATCACTGTACCAGCCGGGTGGAGGTGGCGCATGCTTTTAATCCCAACAGTCAGGAGGGAGAGCCAGGCGGATCTCTGTGAGTTCGAGGCCAGCCTGGTCTACAGAGCGAGATCCAGGAGAGGCACCAAAACACAGAGAAACCCTGTCTCAAAAAACAAAAGAAAACAAAAAACAAAACAAAACAAAAAACACAAAAAACCCCAAACAAACAAACAAAAAAAGAAATCACTGTACCGACTTCAAAACCAACACACAGATATAGTAATATACTCTGATTAGTGCTAATTGCCATACCACAATGACACAGCCAATGGCAACAATAATATAGAGAAGCTATGAAGTCAAATATTATATAGGATAAATTAATAATAGTAATTGGTGTAAAGAATGTGGTAGGTAAAGTATAAAAGAAAAACACGATTAAATGAAAGAACTACAAAGAATGGAGGAAAATGTGATAAAGGACAAAGAAGAGCAGGAGGTAAAAAGAAATCTGGTTGTGCAACAAAGCAAAAAAGGAATAAACAAAGTCAGGCAAATGTAAGAGACTAGAAAATTAAAATAAAGTCAAAATATTACTAAAATATAGTAAAAGGGGAGATGGGAAAATACAAAGGGCAAAGCTAAGGAACAAAACAAAGTATCAGAAAAATAAATTTCCCAGCAGTGCTCCCCACCCCCCTTTAGTAGTGGAGTCTGACAGATGGGCAGGGCGGTCTGTCAACCTTCTTTCCTAACACACACACACACACACACACACACATTCATAGCCTTGGTCCTGTAAATAATGAATAGTGTTTGATCCAAAGTATTAAAATAAGTGTATTAGGGGAGATAAAACATTTGTTTGCATGTACATGCCGTGAGTATGAAGAGGTGGAGGGGCTGGAAGAGAGAAGGTAAGCTTCCTACATATTTCATGTGACTAAATCAATTGGTAGGTAAAGTGTCAATAACTGGGAGGGAGATGAAGTTTGATCTTAAAGTGACCTGCACTAGCCACAGATCACGGATGCTGATGGAGGTTATGAGACTTCTAGATCAGGACTAACTACTTTTCCCTCGTAGAGCAGGGGTCGCCTAAGGCCATCGGAAAACACAGATCTTTACATTAGATTCATAACGGTAGCAAAATTACAGTTAGGAAGCAGCAACAGAAGTAATTTTAGGGTTGGGGGTCCCCACAGCATGAGGAACTGTATTAAAGGGTCGCAGCACTAGGAAGGGTGAGAAGCGCTGGTGTAGAGCGGCACGCACTATGAGCTTAGTGTTCACCTTTACTCCCTTCATCCTCAGTCCCTCGGTTGTGATGCCAGTCAGTTCAGGTGGATGTTGCACAGGCAAAAGGTCTGCATCATAGCTGACGAATGTTTGCACTAGAAAACCCTAGTCTCTGCGCTGGACCTCAGAGGCGTGATGTTTGCCTAGGGAGTGTAAGGCCCTGGCTTCCCCCCCAGCACTGAAAAAGTAACAAAACCAATCTTTTTATAACGGACTGCAAACAAACCCACCTAACGGATGTCCTAGAACACACTGTATTTTTTTGTTTGACATTAAACTGCGTTCTCGCCCTGAATTCTCATCTGTTTAGTTTTTCCCTGGGAGGAGTCAAAATGGTTCCTACATTTGCAGACCTCAAATACTTACTTCATCGTACCAGAAAAGAGAGAAAGCTTCAGTTTAGTTGAAGCCTCAGTCTGTCTTTGTGGGTTCGTTGGTTCTGGTTGGTCATGATGCCTATTTCTAAAACAGTTACCAGAGGAAATGGTTATGTGGGGCCACTTAAGTGGGAGGGAAAAAATGCCGAGATACAGCCAATAAATGTTCTATATTTGTACCTCCATTAGCACACATAAACGGTGTGTATACATTATTCATGCATTGGCTCACCCACGTTGGCTCACATAAATACAGCACTTAAGGATCTGCACAAACTACGGCTTGGAAGGGCGTCAGTCTTCACGGACAGCTCTTGCTTTCCTGTGTCCTTCACCTCTTAGGCTTTCGGCCTCATTCACTTCCACGGTGAATGATGACAGGCCACGTGATCTTACAGTAACTATGACCACCAGTAATTACTCAGTAAAAAAACGCCTCTTCCTCGCCCTACACCTCTGCATTCATATATCACCTTCAAGAAAGGGCTCTGCAAAGCCCTGCCCCAGGTCAGTGCCTATCCCCTGGCCCAATCAGCACTGCCGGCGGGAAGGAATATTTTAATTAGTGTACTTTCACAAGGCCATATCTTCAGGGAGGGTATTTCACTGCTACAGGGGCTCTTGGAAGGTTCCTCCGGAACCTTAGTATTCCGCTGAGGGGTACTGTTTTGTACAAGGGATAGAGAAAAGATGGCTTGGGAGCACTGTACACGAAGGAGCACAGGGATCAACTAGTTCTAGAATGTGGCTCTTGGGAACGGAAGGGATCGTGAAGAATCATCCACTAGGAATCCTATTTCCCTTTTTTCTGCCAATATCATAAAACCAGAAGACGTCAAAAGACTGCTGCTTTTCACGGTTCGGTAAGCACCAGCGAATACTCTTTCCAGCCTTCGTGAGGGTCTTCTGGAGGACACTCGGCTGATTCTATTTGCGAGCCGAACAAGATGCTGTACGGCTTTCACTCGGGCCTTGATTACTAAGTGCTGAGGGTGGGAGACAGCGGTGCCGCCGCCGCCGCCAACCAACACAGACTTCGGGGATCCTGCGGACTGCCCCGCACAGGCCCCACAGGCTTCCTTTCTCCAATCCCTCGGTCGGAATTCTCCAAACGAAGATTTCCCCACCCAGAGAAGGCCAGCAAGGTGCTCCGCCCAGAGGCGGGGTGGGCCGGCAGCCCAGGCTGGTTGAACTGGTTGGAACCACCAAAGTACGCAGACGCGGAGAAAAGAAAAAGTGTCATTTTAGGTAGCTGAGGACACCAGGCAAGAGCTTGAGGAGGAAAGCGCTTCCTTTCCTGCAGATCATTGCAGGGCTTCCAAACTCTGTTTTCGCTGGGACTCGCTCCGGTAGGCACAGGTTCCACTCGCTCCCCAGGACAATGCGCAGGCGCCTGCGGAGCCTTAGCGTTTGGCACGTCCTCTCGCGGGTTCCCTGTCTCCCCAGCGAGTTCCAGCCCCGGGAGGCGTGGTGCTTCCTGGGGGTTGTAGTTTAGGTCCGAGGCACGGGCCTCAGGCAGCGGGGGTGTCGGGGTTCCTAGAACTACCACTCCCGGCGTGCCCCGCGCGAGGGCACGGGGCGTTAAGCCCAGGACGGTCTTAGCCGTCAGAGTCAGGAATCTGCGGAAGCCGGGAAGCCGGCGGCGGCGGCGGGAGGAGGGAGTGCGCGTGCGCGCTGGGCCGGCCCGTCCTGTTCTGTCCCAATCATTGTAAACAGGCGGAGGCTGGGCGGGGTGGGAATGGGGCTCCCGCGGCCGGCCAGGGGGGCAGCGCAGGAGGCGGCGGTCGCGGCGGCTGCGTGAGTGCGAGGAGGAGGAGGCGGCGGCTGCAGCGGAGCCGACGGTCGCTGGGCGGCAGGCACTGGTCAGTGGCGGGGAGCGGTCGCTTGCGGGGGTCGCCGCGCTACGGCGCGGTGCCCCGGCGTGCGAGCCGTCGCTTGCGGGCCTCGCGCCCGCGCCTGTCAGGCAGCATGCTGGGCTTGGGATCCTGGGCTCGGAATTGGAGTTGGGGGTGGGGGGCGTGGCTGCCGCTGCTTAGGTTCTCCGGGCAGGCTTCACCCTTCCCCCCGACCCCCGCCAGCTTGCTCTTTGGGGGGTGGGTCACGCCGCCTGCCCGACAGGCCTCCCCGGGTGCTCCCGGGTGTGTCCTGTTGCTGCTCTTGGAGCCAGGGGCGAGCTGGGAACCCGGCGGTTTCTCGGAGCTTCCAGGCCGCGGGGCATCTCTGCGGGCCACACCTGGCCGGAGCTGCGCCGGAGGAGGGGGGGGGGGACCGGCCTTCCTCAGCCTTCCGGTGTGGGAGTCGCACCTGGCATGCCCACCTGTCCCCGTGCTTGCGGGGTGGAGTCGGGGAGCAGCTCCTGCTGTTGCCCGGGGCTGGTGTTGGAGCAGGGGGCGCTCCTGGTTGCAGAGGTTCTTGCTTCAGTTTCAGTGGCCATGGACGGCCAGATCTGGAGTTCAGAACTCCACGCTCAACGCAGTTTCAAGTGTTTTGGGGCCACGGTGTTCTTGATCGAGGCCAGCTTTCTTTTTCGTCTTTTAAATATGTCGTTGGGAAACAGGTTTGGCAAAATTTTCCACTTCCCAGTCTTCTGAATTAGTGCTGGTTCAAGTTTGGAGAGTATTTCGAGCGTTCTTCCGGAGAGGGCAGCATGCATACCCTAAGGTTGAGTATGGTTCTTGAAGATCACTGACGTTTCCGTGGGAGGTCTGTGCTCGTGACAGAAGGGCTACCATGTGGGCATTGAGCTGCTGCACAGCTCAGTTTCAGTGGTTTTCATGGAATGGGTGTGGGCTGACGCTGTGGTGCTTCAGGTAGCCTTCCATCATACTTGGAAGTTATTCCCAAAATATTGAAGTCATGATAAGGAATAGGCCCACATTTGGCTTGGTGTTCAGGTTGCCAGCACGTGTAAAGGAAGAAACAAGACCGTGAATGAAAAAGGTCACATCACTTTCTCTAGTAGGAATTACCTTGTTGATGTCAAGATCCTGCATATCTTTCCCGAAATGAGTAATTGCCGTCAGCGGTGTTGACTTTAATAGGGATTGGGAGTCAGTACAGTGATTCTCACTTTTCAGTGTCTCAGAGATCCAAGAGAGATAGATTGGTTTAATAGTAGCCACTATTAAATAATTTTTTAAACAAAGTATCTAGACACAAGGTAAGGTAACTGAATTTGATGTCTTTACAAAAGGTGGGTTCTCATAGTAAAATTTACAGAGACCATTTTTTTCATAATTTAGAAGTAGTATTTTAAAAAGTGTGCATTGGGACCAGGGTTCGGTTCCCAGTACCCACATCAGGCTATTCCCAACCGCCTATAAGTCCAGTTCCCAGGGAAATCCAACAACTCTGGTCTCCACAGGTAATTGCACACCTCCCCCAGGACTAAAAATAATAAAAATTTAAAGCAAATGTTAACTTTATTTTGTGCAGTTAATTTGCACAGTCCATTGCTTGGCAAGAAGAGATTAGTTCAGAACATTGTCCCAAAGTGTGTTCTGTTGTTTTTTTCTTTACTGGGGAGAGGTTCAGGATCTCACTGTGTAACTCTGGTTGTCCCAGATTCTTCCTAAGACCAGGATGTCCTAGAACTCACAGAGATCTTCCTGCTTCTGGCTTCTAAGTGCTGGGATTAAAGGCATGTGCCACCATGTCTAGCTATTCTTTTCTTCCAAAAAGAAAACCCCTGATAGAATATATGCGAGTATATGTAAGACAGAACATGGGGGAAAATGCAGATTATTTAGAATACAAAAATTACTGTGTTTAGGTTCTCTGCCAAATGAAGAGAACTTGAAAATGGATAAGACCACCTGCTTTCAGGTGGTCAAGTGTATCTCTTGAATTGTCAACAAGTAATACATAAGTATGTATAAAATACATTGTTTTATACACATACATAATACTTATACCTGTTAGGGAGTGAACCCAGGGTCTTGGACACATTAGGAAAGCACTCAAGCACTGTGTTACAGCAGTCAGGCCACAAACTACAACATGTTTCTACGATGGCTTTGTAGACAATATGGGGGTTCTGTGAATGTATACAAGAGGTGATTCTTCATTTCTTAAGGGAGAAGCTATGGAAGAGGGCAGCAGTTAGAAAAGAGCCGTGTGTAAACAATGATGAAAACATGGGATGAGGATGCCTAGGGGAAGATGTCTAACATTGTAAAAGCAACTGGACAGCCATAGAACTGATGAGCAGTTAGATGGGGGATAGTGTATGCAAAACCACATAAAACTAACTACATGGTAGCATCTACGAGGACACACACACACACACACACACACATACACACACACACCCCTACCTACCTACTTCAAGTATAGCTGGGTAGCTGGGTCTGGTGGTGGTGAGACATGGAACTGGGGAGATAGTGCAAGCAAATAGGAGTCATTGAAACAGAACCGAGAAGGGAAGGGGATGGGGGTGGGAGAGACAGGCAGACTGGCCAACTTAATGCCAGTCCAACCAGTGTTTAATCCTGTTATGAATGTTATGTCCTTAGGGATCCAGCAAAATTAATTAGAAAAGAAACTTAAGGCTGAAGGGGTTGGAAAGAGACAAGTAGGAAGCATGAGCACTTTTTTGAAACATTCCAGACAAGTGAGTTGGTTCTGTAGCTGTAGTGTCGGTTGTGGATGAGGGAGCAGAAGATGAGGCTGTACTGATGAACCTTCAAAAACTGTATGCCCTCACTATAGATAATAATACAATGTGTGGGTTTAAACATACTGTTTTCATTTTAGAAAGATCACTCTAGAATTGTAGAGTGTAGATTTCAGAGTATGGAAGCTATATAAAATTGAGTACAGGAAGGCTTTAGAAAGTCTTTGTTAGGCTGAGGGGCCCCCAGCTGGATCAGGCCCTCTGAATAGGTGAGACAGTTGATTGGCTTGATCAGTTTGGGAGGCAACTAGGCAGTGGGACCAAGTCCTGTGCTCATTGCATGAGTTGGCTGTTTGAAACCTGGAGCTTATGCAGGGACACTTGGCTCAGACTGGGAGGAAGGGACTGGACCTGCCTGGACTGAGTCTACCAGGCTGACCTCGGGGGAGGATTTGCCCTGAAGGAGGTGGGAATGGGGGGTAGGCTGGGGGTAAGGAGAGGGTGTGGGAGGGGGAGAATAGGGGAACCCGTGGCTGATATGTAGAACTGAATGGTATTGTAAAATAAAATAAAAAAAAAATAAAAATAAAAGAAAGTCTTTGTTATTGTCAATAATTGAGGTGAGAAATAGGGTCTGAAACTAACGCAGTCTCAGATTACCGGAAGCAGAAAAAGTTAGGAGGATACACTGAATAGGATTTAGCAAAGATTGGTATTGGAAATTAAGGGTGAAATAATTGGATACAATGACTTTGATTTCATCCTGGGTCCTTGAGAAACAATGATAAGATATCCGAGACAGAGAATTCAGGAAGGGGAGTAAGTGTGAGGAGGAACTGAATGTTGGCTTCTGGCTTATTGAGTGGGTGTTATTTGTGAACCTCCAGGGAGAATCATCTGCTTCAGAGTTTTTCCGTGTGTGTGTGTGTGTGTGTGTGTGTGTGTGTGTGTGTGTGTGTGTGTCAGCACACGGTATCGTCTTTTTAGGTGTGAGCCTTCCCATCAGTCTCCTCCCAGTATACTGTAAGTGGTAGCTGAAGCTTTGTTCAGAGACCACCCACGGGAAGTTTGCTGAAAGCAATCAGTTCTAAAGATAGACCCCAGAGACCATTTAAGTCCAGACAGAGGAGGATGTGTTGGAAAGTGACATTCAAAAATGTTTGATTGGCCAGGTGGTGGTGGCCCACACCTTTAATCCCAGTGTTTGGGAGGCAGAGGCAGGCAGATCTCTGTGAGTTCAAGGCCAGCCTGGTCTACAGAGAAACCCTGTTTTGAAAAGCCAAAAACAAAGAAAGTTTGGTGATGTCGAGGTATCCATAATGAAATGTCATAGAAGCCAAAAGAGGGTCCTCTTTTTTTTTTTTTTTAATTTTTTTTTTTTTTTTTGAGCTAGGGTTTCATTCTGTAGTCCAGGCTGGCCTTGACCTCAGAAGGAGTATTCCTTCTGCCTCAGCTGTCTCAATGCTGGTCTTAACGGTGTGAATCACTGTGTCCAGCTGAGAGCGTTGTGAAGGCTACTATCTTCACATCTAACTCCAGAAAAGAAAATAAGAGGAAAGCCCTGTCAGGTGTGGGGTCAGTACCCATAATCCCAGCACCAGGGAGACTCTGCAGGAAGTTTGAGACCAGATAGCAAGACCTCTCTCAAAATACAAAATGAAACATCAGCACCAACAAAAAGATGAATGCTCTACTTGAAATTCTCTGAGCAGGGGCTAGAGAGACAGCTCAGCAGTGGAGAACTCTCGCTGCTGTCCAGAGGCCCTGAGGTCGGGTCCCAGCAGCCTTATTGAGTGGTTCCTAACTGCCTGTGACTGCAGCTCCAGAGGGAACCAACACCTCTGGCCTCCAGGGGCATCCAAACTAACCGACACCTTTTTTTCTTATTTTGAGACAGGGTCTTTCCGTGTGGTCTTGGCTATTCCAGAACTCACTGTGTAGACCAAGCTGGTCTTGAACTCAAAGAGAATCCCCTGCCTCTGCCTCCTGAGTGCTGGGATTAGAGGTGTGTGCTACCATACCTGGGTACATAATTAAAAAAATAATGCGCTGAGTAGTTGGTCAGAATAAGCATTATCAGAATCTTTTGAGTTTGATAAATAGAAAGTCATTGAATTTGATAAAGATTCTTAGTGTATTGGGTTAAATTTGTGGCAGTTTGGTAGGATAATTGAAGAAGAAACTTCATTGAGTCAAGAGGTCAGAGAGTAGAGAAAGCAGATTGGCACGGCCCCAGCACTGACTGGA